CAGCTCGATCTGCCGATTCGGGCACCGCCGAAACCACGCGGCGGCGGGCGATCGCCGTCGGCCACCGCCTGCGCCGCGCCGCCAGGAAACGTGCCGGTTTCCAGCATTTTGGTGCGGCCCAAGAACGGGATGAATACTTTCGAGGGTAGGGATTTGCAATAAGTTTACTTCAGATACCTCATCTTACGTCGAGTTTGAATTTGTATAACGTGTCTCTCAACTGCAATACCGGTATACCCGAGATTGTAGGACGGTATACAAAAGAGTTGAATGGGACGAGTTGAATGGGATCCAAAAGAGTTGGCGTCGAGGATACCTGGTATTGTGTTTGAAGGATATGTGCAACTTAAACATGACCTCAACTAGGGACCAAAAGTAAACTTATTCCATGGATTTTGGCCTGCATGCGGTTCATTTTGGTTGGCCCGACTTACGTGCGGCTGGCCCATGTGAGTTCGGTAGCAAGGATCTGTATTGCGTGCGGCCCATTCTGTTTGGGCCAGGGAGGAGGAGTTGTTGGGCCGAAATGTGTTTGGGCCTGCGTGATGGAAAGGAAAGGGACGTTGGCGTGGCGGTTGGTGGTGGGCGGGGTTGACGTGAATGGCTCAACTACGACCGTGCTTGTGTTTGCTGTGCTGCTGCTGCTGATCCGGTCGGTCAGGTAGCTACGCTCCGCCAATCTCCGATAGCGACCGACCCAAACGCAAACGCAAGCGCTAGCGCTGATCGATACGTACTACGCACCGCCTACCGTCAGGAACAGCTCGGTTTGCCAAAAACCGGAACACAAACCGACAGTTTGATTTTTCGATTAATTTTTTTAAAAAATAAACTGGTTTTTTAATTAAAAGATGTTCGAATATTGTCGAGGGTCTATTGTTTTGAAACAATTTTCATTAACTCCGAGACAATAGTTGATATTCCATTTTTTGGCTCTGGAACGGTTCACCCTGATTCGAACACTATTACTAATATAGTATAGTTTATTCATTTTCCTTTTCTTAAAAAAAACATAATATGAACGCAAACGTTGATAACCGCGTACACTCACCCATATAAAGACACAAGCACGCCCTACCGTTAGGAACACATCCAAACTATTTGACCGGCATATCTTTAAATTGACGATGTCAATACGAATGTTTCACTGTCGACTGGTATATTATTTATACAATTTTTTTTAGTTTCATTTGAATCTGGTGTAGCCGGTCTTCCTCCGCCGCCTGCCAGCGTTCAAAGCGAAAACGATGCCAAAATCATCATTTGTTAACAGTGCAACCAGCACATCATCGCCACTAGGGATGAAAACGGAGCGGATAGTTTCCGTCCGCTCCGGACAAAAACGGATACGGATACCTTTCGGATCGGATAATTCTCGGATATTTCGGATACAGATACGAATACGGATATTTTCTCCCGGATACGAATACGAATATGGTATCAGAGTTTCCGTCGAATACGGATAATAATTCAGATATCCGGTGAATAGTGCTATTCGGATATCCGCAGGACCCATGAGACATACCCCATTTCTTTCTAACTCTATAACCTTCAATGTACCTTTATAGATTTTAATAATAGTTTATCTCTTAACACTAGTCCATACTATTAATATTATTTAAATTTAAAAAAATATTTATAAATTATACCTCATTTTATATAAAATGAGCTAATTATATATGTTGAAATTTATTTCTATTAGAAGTTGAGTTGGTTTTCGTGTTCCGAGAAAAATTTGTTTCCGTATTCGTGTCCGATCATATTCGATTCTTATTCGTATTCGAGATAATCCGTATTTGTTTCCGTATTCGAGCTATCCGTATTCGTTTTCGTATCCGGTAAAAAATATGAAAACGAATATGGTATAAGCATTATCCGTCCATATCCGCTCCGTTTTCATCCCTAATCGCCACCACTACTCGCTCGTCACCTTTCGTGGATTACCACTAAAAAAACGAGAGTGCCACACGCCCGCACGTAACCCCCGGCTGCTACTAGTACAAGCACGACACAGCCATATGGGCATAGCATAGCATCCAGTGCTTTTCTTATCGCTACATCAGCCCACTAACAACATGGGATCAGTAATACTCCTCTGTTAGTGTTACAGTAGGATTCTATGCTTTAATCATGCCGTCAACATCCGTCGGTGCAAAAGGTTTGCAGGTACGGAACTCTTATAGAAAAAGGAAAATGAAACGAGTGAGGTACGAAATGCTTTAATTAGTACATGATTAATTAAGTTTTAATTAGAGTAAAGTCCATCACCGGTCCCTAAACTGGTACCGCTGTGTCATCCCGGTCACTAAACTCACAAATCGACCGTTCAGATCCTTAAACTTGTTCGACTGTGTCATCCAGGTCCCTAAACTTGCAGATCACTCGTTTAGGTCCTCCAACTTGTTCAGTTGTGTCACCCCGGTCCCTAAGCAGGACGGTCTAAAAGCTTTATATCAAAAATAATTCATAACTTTTTTATGTAAACTCTAATGAAGACAAACTTTATATTAAAATTATAGCCCTCGACGCGACCTACAACTTTGTAGTTGATAAGTTTTTGAATTAAAACTGTTTAGGGTCCCAAAATATTGTTGCATTTTTATAGATTTTGAAATTTTAATTTTAAAATTACATTTTGGGACAAAAAAATGACTTAAAATAAAAAAAATCAACTATAAAGTTGTAGATCTCGTTGAGGGCTACAAGTTTGATATAAAGTTTGTCTTTATTAGAGTTCACATAAAAAAGTTATGAATTATTTTTAAATACAAAGTCTTTAGACTGTCCTATTTGACCCAGATGATATTCAAATCTAAGTTTAGGGACCGAGGTGACACAACTGAACAAGTTGGAGAATCTAAACGAGTGATCTGCAATTTTAGTGACCGGGATGACACAGTTGAACAAGTTTGAGAACCGGAACGATCGATTTGTGAGTTTAGGGACCGCGATGACACAGTGGTACAAGTTTAAGGACCGGTGATGGTCTTTACTCTTTTAATTATTATAAATTTTAAAAAGTAATTTATCTGATATTTTAAAGTGATTTCTATATAAAATGCTTTTATGGAATACACACGTTAGCAGTTTGAAAAACGTACGATAACACACGAAGTGAGCACAACAGGGTTTAATGCTATATATGATTTGACTTTGTTTTGCTACTGTTTTGTTTGTTTTGTTTCGATTTATAATCTAAATTGGCAGAGTTTGTATCAATCGTAAAAATTGTCTTTGTAACGCAATACGTATTTTTGCCAGTTAACGCAATACGTATTTTTGCTAGTTTAATAAATAAAGAAAGAGGCCTAATTAACAAAGGACGATAGGTGTACGAGCATAGCATCAGGTCCCGTTCGAAGCCAACCGAAGTTTGTTTGGTGTTTATATGGGGGTTCACATGAGGGGGGGTGCAGATCTGTGTGGTTCACAACGAGATGGCCAGCTTAGATCCACGAGGAGAAGATGGCCAACTGTCGGTTACTAGCTCGGTTGACGGTGCGGCTCAATTTCTTTCAACATTTTCCATTTCTTGTTGAGGAGAGAAAGGTACAAACCTGAAAAAAAAGTTATTCCCATCCATGAAAATCCCTGAAAAAGTCAAGGAGCATATGACACAAAAAAAGTTTATTGCACTCACTATAATTATTTATCTTATTATTTTTTTGGAATATCATTTTTGGATAGAACGATTTTTATGTTTTCCCTAACAAATTTATTTGGTGTTTTTAAAATTTCACATCATCTACCACCCTTCTTGAATTTCCTGGATCCTTTGGGGCTGTAATTTTCAGATATACCAAATGTTTTGACCTAGCAACGACAAGATACAGTGGAGGAGCAAAAAAACAAAGTAGCTGTGCAAAGCATGCACAAAGAACACACAATAGAAAGGTCTTTTTTGGGTGGCAGAAAAACGGTTAAGGTTTCAACAGTTGAAAGTAAAAAAAAAAAAAGAAAACACACACACAACGCGGAATGTGAAAGGTATGGGCATTCTCTAGAAGGAAGGAGCGTTCAACGTGTTTGTCAGTTGACACCGTCTCAATATGCGGGCTTTATTCCCAGGGGTCCCAGCTGTCATCCAGCAAGGGGCCGTTTAGTTCCCAAAAAGTTTTTCCAAAAAACATTACATCGAATATTTGGACACATGTATGAGTATTAAATATAAATAAAAAGAAAAACTAATTGCACAGTTACGGGGGAAATAGCGAGACGAATCTTTTGAGCCTAATTAGCCCGTGATTAGCCATAAGTGCTACAGTAACCCACATGTGCTAATGACGGCTTAATTAGGCTCAAAAGATTCGTCTCGCGGTTTCCCGGCGAGTTCTGAAATTAGTTTTTTCATTCGTGTCCGAAAACCCCTTCCAACATCCGATCAAACGTCCGATGTGACACCCAAAATTTTCTTTTCCCCAACTAAACACAGCAAGGTTTAACCATGCACCACTTAGCAATACAATTATTACAATCTATTAAAAGCACATTAACATAACATACAACAAAGTAAATAAATAAAATAATAGGAACCCCTACACTAACATGTTACAAGTCAGCTGTAAACACATGTGAAAAAGAGAAGAGAAGAGAAGAGAAGAGAAGAGAAGGAAAACAATCTATATATTGGTAGCCAGTTGTAGCACAGACTCTAATACTGTACAGACTCTAATAACACGTGAGTGTATAAGAGGTGAGACCATATATTAATGGTGTAATATATGATTATAGCTAACTTAGCTATTAGATCAGCTATAAATGAATTGGAGCTAATAGTTGGTTATATTATTAAACTTACTCTCATATGCTTTCCCTTTCTCAGCTCCAGCTCATTCGCTATTCGAAGAAAAAAAAAACTACCACCAAAATACGCAAAAAATAATACCAGTACTAGATCTCGACTAATCCCGCGTCACGAACTTGCTAATCAGTCAATAAACCTAATCAGGAGACACCAAACCACCGAAAAAAAAAGGAGAGAAATAATAATATTCGCGCATCCATCACGACCCCAACTCGTCCTCAATCGCGGCCACCCGCCGACCCAGCGACGACAGCGCAGGGAAGAAGGGAGGACGCGACGCGACACGAGCGCGAGAGGAAAGCGGAGGAGATCGAGGAGAAACTCCATTTCCCCCCCCCTCGCCTTCTCCGATTTCCCTCGCGTGGAATCCCCTTGGACTCCTCCCCCTCCCGCCGCCGCGCGAGCCGGGCACGGCGAGCGGCGCCGCCCTGCCCCCGCCGATCTGCTCTGCCTTCTCCTCAGGTTCGCCGTCTTGTTGGATTCGCCTTTTTTTGCGTTCGTTTCGGGCGCCGTCAGATCCCCGCGCCGTGTTTGGTGAGCGTGAGCTAACGGAATGGCACGGCCAGATCTCGTGGGGGGGATCCGAGGCGGTCGGCGGATGCTAGATCTGGGGCGGGGAGCTGTACGATCGCCGCCGCGTTAGATCTGGTCCCGTTGCTCGCGCCGGATTCCGCTGCTTTTGTTGTTCAAATTGTTTTGGTTTCGAGCTTTACCTTTGCGGGCTATTGGGTTGGATGCTCCGTGATGCTTCGAAGCTACGGGAGAATGTTAGTGATGATGCTTTTTTGGATCTTATGGACGAATTTTATACAGGGGCTTGCACCGAGGAGGAGGAGGAGGAGAGAGCTGAGCAGAACAAGCTAGATTCTCAAGGAAGGGCGCCATGAAGAAAGTATTCGATCAAACAGTCCGGGACCTGTACGTGATTCACCTGCCATCTTATCGTATACCGTGTGCAGTTCGAGCTCCGTTCGTTTGCTTGATACAATATATTTCTGTCGTAATTTAATCTGTTCTGGTCTTTGTTTTTGCAGAAAAAGAGAGGTGAACAAGAAGGTCCTCAAGGTGCCTGGTATAGAACAAAAGGTAACAGAGATCTCTGCTGCTCCCTCACGCAAAAGCATGTGTTAAGCATGATAGTTACTGAATTTAATGGATTGCTCGCCTTTCAATTTTCATGAAGCATAATCAGTGACATCAGACTTATTCCATTTTGCTCGATGGCCTCATACAGATTCTTGATGCCACAAGCAACGAGCCATGGGGCCCACATGGATCACTCTTGGCAGAAATCGCCCAAGCAACACAAAATTAGTATGTTTTCTTCTTGGGCTTTTGTTATTTGATCACCTTTGTAACAAACAAAACCTAATTTTCCCGGTGCCAATGCCCTTTGCGTGCTTGCAGCCATGAGTACCAGATGGTCATGAATGTTGTGTGGAAGAGGATCAATGACACTGGTAAAAATTGGCGGCATGTTTATAAGGTGTGTTTTCTTATTTGCTTTTACCCCTTAACCTTCAGTGTTCTCTCCTTTTATGGATGTAAGTGGAAATAGCCACAGCAATATGTAGGGCAGTTTATTCTGATGCTATACTATGCTTGATATGTAGGGATTGATTGTCCTGGATTACTTGGTTGCTCATGGTACAGAGCGAGTTATTGATGACATAAGGGAACATTCTTATCAGATATCGGTATTGCTGGAAATCTATTTTCTGTTTCATATACTCCATGTAGTTTCTGCCTCAAGTTTCGTCAGTATCTTAGTTGCTTGATGCTCATTAACTTTGTTATTATAATTGCAGACACTAGCTGATTTCCAGTATATCGATTCGAGTGGGAGAGATCAAGGTAGCAATGTACGGCGGAAATCCCAGAGCCTTGTTAGTTTAGTTAATGACAAAGAGAGGATACAGGAAGTTAGGCAGAAAGCACTTGCTACCAGGGACAAGTGAGTGTGCTTGCTTTTCGTTATATTGGTACATTGTGTTTTGTGGACATGCATATTCTCTGTTTTATTGACTACTTTTATGTGTTCATCTGAAGATACCGGAGTGCATTCGCCACCAGTGGAACACACAGGAGCCCAGGTGGCTATGACAATGACCGCTATGAAGGAAGCTATGGCAGTAGGTATGATAACAGAAATGGCTACGGGGGAGAAAGAGAGTATGGATATAGGGATGATGACAGATATGGTGTTGCTGGAACTACTCCCAATCGGGAAGGAGATCGTTATTCTAGGGATTCTAATGAGCAGCGCTACAGCAGAGATAGAGAAGATGAGTACAAAGGAAGTCATAGCAACCATGAATATGCAGAAGGATCAGGTCGCAGGAGCTATGGACGAGATAGGGATTCATATGGGGATGATGAAGCTTATTCATCCCGGTCCGTTTCATTGTTTTTTTCTGGATTTAAATTTTTACACGTTCATATAGCAGTCAATAAGCAGCCTATAAGATTGTTATTTCATTAAGTTGCTAATATTCACTTGGTTATTTATGGTTCTTTATGGACCCTAACTTACATACATTTTTCCATCACAGTGGCCGGCAAAGCAATGCTGACGGACCTACTCAGGATGAGAGGTAAATGATGGAGAAATGCTAAGTTCATAACATATTAACTTGTCTTATTTGAGCAATTTATCTTATGTTCTGTACCTCCTTCGGTAGGCCCATGGAGCGGAAGCCTTCTAACCAGCAGATTGCTTCACCACCGCCAAACTATGAAGATGTCACAAGAGATACACAGGATAATAATCATGATGGACGGTATGTATTTTATGTTATAATGTTTGATCAGTAGACATGACAACGATCTCTGATTTCTGAACTACCGTTCAATATCAGAAATGGAGGGACTGTGCCTGTGCCAGTTGCTGCAGCAAAGGTGTCTTCACCTCCAAGAACAAGTGTACCCCCAGGTCAGGTGAATGGTGTACATGATAATACTGTGGAAGACGTACCTGCACCACCACCTACTCATCCTGAAGTTAATGGGTTTGACGAGTTTGATCCTCGTGGATCAGTACCAGGTATATTTTCCTCCTTTTTTGACACATTGCATTGCATATGAACCAAAAGCCCACATTAATAGAAAGCATCACACAATATTATTTTCTGATACATTTATGAAGAGAACTGTAGAAGGAATGACCCCTATTCTGGCATTATACTAGTATCAATATCTTTTGGTAGTAATTGAGTACTGATTTTTTTTTTCAATATTTGCATCCCATGTCAGATACCTCACCTCCAGTGAACCCCTCACAAGCCGTGAATAGCTTGGAAATGGATTTATTCGGACCAGATCCTATTAATTCGTTGGCTTTGGTATCTGTGCCTCAGCCAACTGCCAGCCCAAATGTTGAGCCATCAGCAAATCCAGGATTTGAGAGTAACAGTTTTATGGGCATGCCACCGGCTTCTACTGGATTCAATGAGGTACGCGTCTATTGAACATAAGGCCATTCACGATACTAATCTCATGTTCTAATGGTGGCATGGATCTGTTATACTGAATTGTAGTTCTATGATTTTGTGGGCTTGAATAATTGCACGCGACAAAGTGACACACACTATAGGACAAAACTTTATTTAAATCATGTTGTTTCTTAAATGTATTTAAACAGCAGCAGTAGTGGTCACAGAATTGTGGTCAGTACAAACTTTTTGAATTAACATCAAGATACTTGTTTTGGTGATGGGATGGTTGTGTTGTTCTATGTTTATTTGATTGGAATTTGCCTTGTCTGGTAGTTAAATCCAACCACCTGTTCATCTTATCCTTTTGGATTTTGACCTTGCAGGCCTTTGATGCAACTAATCCTTTTGGGGATCCTACGCCTTTCAAGGCTGTTCATGAAGAAACTCCTGCAGTTTCTCAGACAAATGCTGCACCTGCTGGTTCTTTCCATGCTACTGAACCTGCTGCAGATGCAAATCCTTTCCAGCCTGCTTCAGCAGCAAGCTTTGGTTTTGGAGACACTCTTGGCGACCTCTCTTTTGGATCGAATGCTGCACCCGGGCAGCAAGATATTTTTGTGCCCACCTCATCACATTCAGAGGTACCACCTGCAAACCCATCTGTGCACCCTGAACAGGCAGTCCCATCTTATGTCTCCTCCCAGGCACCTCAGCCTGCAGCTGCTGGTCCACAAACTCATGCTGCTCCCGCTTCATTTGCTTCTCAAGCACCTCCCACTTCATTTGCTTCTCAAGCACCTCAAGCAGGGGCACCCTATCCTCAGGCTGCCTCCACATTTCCTCATTCACAAGCATCTCATCCTGCAGCCACTAATCCATCTACAATCCCTCAGAATGTTGCCACACCATTTGCTCCTTTACAAATGCCTCAACCTGTACCATCAGGCCAATCAAACTATTTTATGCAACCAGTTCCAGGGACTGGCATTAATGGCATGTCTGGGGCTCCTTCACAGAATGGAGCACCATCCTACATCCCTTCACAGGCTTCTCAATTTGCAGCTCCAACAAATCTACAGCCCTCTCAGCCAACCTTCCCCCCACAAACTGCCATGGCAGCTTCACAGGCAACATCAATTTCTCGAGGGGCATCTCAGCCTCTTGCAGTGCCGAATTCAATGCCTTCTGGTGTGAACTTTCCATTACAATCAAGTTCATCAGCTCCCCCTGAAACAATCCTTTCAGCCTTGCAAGTTAGTCAGTCTGAGCCAGTGAAGAAATTTGAGTCCAAATCTACAGTTTGGGCTGATACATTGAGCCGAGGTTTAGTCAATCTGGACATCTCTGGACGTAAGTGGCTTCTCTCTGGCTGTCTTCTACACTTGTACTTTTGTACTTTTGTGATCTGACGTAATCTTATGTCTGTTTTACAGCAAAGGCTAATCCGCACGCTGATATTGGAGTTGACTTCGATTCAATCAATCGCAAGGAGAAAAGGCAAGAAAAGAAAGTCTCTCAAGCTCCTGTGGTATCTACGATCACTATGGGCAAAGCCATGGGAACTGGCTCCGGCATCGGTCGGGCAGGTGCGAGTGCCATGGCACCTCCAGCCAACCCAATGGGTGCAAGCAGGGGCATTGGCATGGGTATGGGCGCTGCTGGTTCCGGTTACGGTGGTGGAATGGGAATGAACCGGCCAATGGGCATGGGAATGGGAATGAACCAACAAATGGGTATGGGAATGGGGATGAACCAACAGGCCATGGGAATGGGGATGAACCAACAGGCCATGGGAATGGGGATGAACCAACAACCAATGGGAATGAACATGGGCATGGGGATGAACCAGGGTATGGGAATGAACATGCGGCCTCCTATGGGAATGGGTCCAGGTAGTGGATATAATCCAATGGGTACCGGATACGGAGGGCAGCAACCATATGGTGGGTACAGGTGAGATTATACTGTACAATGCGATACTCAGTGAGGGGTTGAGAAACAGTTTAGGAGGCGTTTGGATTTTGGTCACCTGGATTTTCTTTATGTATGGTTTCTTTTGTTTTGGGTGGGGGGGGGGGGTTATAATTTTTCATCACTATTCTTTTCCTATCCATGTTGGATATTGTATCTACTAAATATATGACATGTGAACGGGGGCAATGCTACAACTACTGTGTTGTGTTGGATGCAAAGCCTTAATACTATAATCATCAATGTAGCTGTATAATTCTCTATAGGATGTTTTTTTTTCAGTAAACATTGTGATTGTTTCAGCGTTCTTGCTGGCTTGACAATAAAAAGGCTGTACCATTTTGTTCAAGCTATCTTCCTTTCTTTTTATGTCGTCACATTTTGAGGTGCAGACCTGCAGTTTTTGTGTCAGATGTCACCCGTCAGTCTGCAAATAGTAGTATATTTTTGCTCGTCCGAACTTTGGAACTACAGGAATGGCCCATCTCTACTGTCGCCTCTTTTCTGTTCTGATGCGTGGTCACACAAGCCACTGTTGACACAGCAACTTTGTATCTCCATTATTGACACAGCAACTTTGTATCTGACCATAATGAAACGAAGAATTTTGTGAGTTCTTTTTATTTGGCTGGGATTCTTACAAAAACTGCAACCTAACCAGTTAAGTACTTGAATCTTAAGTCGAATCTTGAAGTTTGTAAAACGTGTCCCAGGAGCAGCAATTGTCGCATGTCATTTAACCAGCTGTATGTGAGGTTCAGGTCATCAGGTGGCATCAAAACGTGTATGCATTGGCGCATGCACGGTCGAGAATTTATAAGTCATTTTGACTTTGCTCACGCTACTAGCGTCCTAGCTACAAAATCTCGTGGCCAAGGTTTCCGTTTCTTCTTTTGAGAATCCCGCGGTCACCACAAGCCGACGCCTCTAAAGTCAAAACTGGTTAAATATCGAGCTTTGTACGCCAACGAGTTGCAGTAACCTCTGCGTGATAATATTGGCTTAATCACTTCCATCGATTACCTTTCAGCTTATAGCCGTAACCAAAAATTAAATTTTAAAATTTAGTTTCGATGTTGATTTTAGGAGTTTTCATCTTAGTTTTTTTTTTTAATTTTCTCTGTTTTAAAATAAACCAACCTTTATACATCTATATCAAAATTCATATATAAAAGTCGGTTTATTTTTGGAACATATGAAGTATTATTTGCCTTTTAAATTGCTAATAACATATTTATAAAAGTTTTATTCATAAATTATTTTTAAGTTGTTAATAAGCCGTTAGAGCTTATAATCAGCAAAAGTGAAAGTGATTCTTGTACACTTATGTCTCATTACCCAAGTATAAGAACACAGGTCAGTCATCCACCCTAGTCAAAATCAAGACTCCGACCCTTGCATCATGGAGGCCTAAAGCTTAACGAAATGGCCATGGCACCATTCTTTCGGAAGCAGAGAAAAAGCTCCGGTTGAGCTGTATCGCTAGTACTACCATATTTGTGATGCAAGTTTGACCTAAAAACGCAGGGTCCCTTGCTTGCTCTGGAAAAAGAAATCAGAAGACGATTGCAGACGGTGTTTGAACTCAAAAAATCAAAATGATTGGCCCTGAAAAAGTCTGACCACCCACAGTTAAGAGGAACACAAATTGTTAACTGTTGCTTGCACTGAAGGACATTGAGCAGTGAATTCACCAGGGGTTTTAACCTACAGGTTTGCAGCAAGCGTAATCTTGGTAATAGGTTGTAACAGCATATTCTAATGACTAATTAGTCGGCCAATAATAATTCCACCAGATACAAATGTCTGCAAAACTCTGAATACTAGTACAGTGCATTTTGTGAGGTGCAATGCACACTATAGAATCTGAATCTCTAGACAGAGCACAGCATTGTTTTCAGTTTTTGTACAGTGATTCAGAGTTGCTGACATACAGTACAGTACAGTACATTGCCCTGGGCTCAGAAAACGAGCAGGATTGCTTCTTCGGATGAACTGTGCATCTTTGCCCTCAAACTGCAGCAAACTCGATTGCAATGTTGGCGTGAATGCATGTGCGAATGCTCTTGGTTTGTAGGTGTCGCGAGATCCACGAATGCCGGTGGTCTCTGCGTGCTCTAATGGCGATACGACGCCTCTCGCTTGGATTAGCTGCATTCTCGCTGTGCCCCTTTTCCTCCTTTTCTTGCTTCCTTCGTCTCTCCGAGTGACTCATCCTGCTTTAGCTTTAACCCATAATAAACTTGTCATCTGGCTTGCATTGCCCATGGTGGTTTAACCAGGGTTCACGCTACGTGTGTTGACATTTTGCAGATCACTGCAGCATTGGGAACTGTGTCCCGTTATTAGTTCTATGATCACTGTTAATTACTCGTGATTCCGGTAATTAGGCTTGACTGAAGCATAAATCCTTCAGATCAAAGGCCATTTCTTGGGAACTTGCTGGTTCTTTGTCTGTTCCCTCTGTTAGCTTTGTTTGCAAAATGCAAACCCTTTATTCACATCATCCAACGTGCCAGAGTTCGATCATTCTAGTAATTTGAGAACAAAATTTTAAAAAACCACATTTTACAGCCATAATCTTCGGATGCAAAAGTTGGCTTTTGACGCTGTCCGGCAGAGCGCATACTATACTAATTAAGCCAATGCATGCTTGGTTTTCTTAGCTTAGTTTTGTCTGAATATTTCCTGTGATGTTGAGAGCATTTTGTGCAGAGAGCATGTAGCTCTCGCTTCGTTGACACTCGCCATCGTCGTGCCTAGTGTTCACATTCCTCCTTCCTCTCACTCTAAGCTTCTGACAGCACCAAGTGATTACAGTTTGATTTGCTTCGGAACCAATTCTGAACTTTGCAGTGCAGCATCGACGGTGCCCTTATTACTAGCTTATAAAAAGGAGGCACATGATGCATTGCAACCTAGAGTCCAGTCCATGAACGATCATATCTACCTGCACTGCATTCCTCTGTGCTCGACTCTCCTGTATCTTCCTTTCTCTGAATCTCTGATTCATCTGATGTTCATTCATTCATTCGTCTGCTGCTGCACTGCACTCTGATGCAGTAACTGCTGCTTATTCTGATCCTGCAATGCTTCTGCTGAATTCTGCATGTATCAGCTCAATCTGAAGAGTTAATTACGTTGTTTCTGGCGTTTCATTTCCTGAAGGTAATAGCAAACAATTTCTCTGAACTTCATAGTAACATGCCACTAAGTATCTTTTTTTTTCTTTTTTTTTTGTTCTCGTGTCTTGTACTAGCAGTCATCAGGCTACAACTAGCTAGCTGCATATACAAATAACCTAAGGCAAGTCATATACAGGTTGCTTGTGTGTTCTGAATCATGTAATCCACTTTACTGAATTCTTACTGCATCTCTTAGATTCAGAGTAAGTAATTCATCGTGTAGCTTATATACTCATCAAGTCAAAAGTAGTACTAGTAGAGATTTCTAATACATTTCATCTCACACAGTTGATCGTTGAACGCTTTTTTTTTTCTCTCTTTCAGTTGATTTCCCGCCACAAAGTGCACACTAGTAGAGACGTTGCGAAAGAATTTAAACCGATCGATCAGGCGGGGTGGCGCGAGCGAGTTCCCGCCACCACCATGGGCGTCACCCGCGCGCACATCGTGAAGAATGACGCACTGGAGGGGATGCTGGGCGAGTTCGTCGGCGGCGGCAAGGGCGGCGGGAAGGCGGGGCGCGCGGCGGCGAGGCACTCGTCGCGGCTGGTCGCGGCGCTGACGTGCCTCCAGCTCGCGTTCGCCATCTACGCCACCTTCCTACTCTACTACATGAGCCCCGCCGTGGACCTCCGCGCCAAGCCGGACTTCGCGTGGGCGACGCGCATCGCGCAGCACTGGAAGCAGCTCATGGCGCAGCCCGACGGCGGCGGCGGCGGCATGGCGGTGTCGCCGGAGGAGGTGTGCGAGCACGAGAGCATCGACTTCGAGCAGAAGAAGTCGACGGACGCCGTGATGATCCGCCTCAAGCGCGAGCTCTACGACGAGGTCCGCGACTTCCAGCGCCGGAGCTTCGGCGCCGAGACGCTGCCGGAGCTCCTCCGGATGCGCTCGCGGTGGAGCGCCGCCGCCGCCGCCGCCGGCAATCAGCCGCGGGTGACGGTGATCCTGAACCACTTCAAGCGGCGGACGCTGTGCGCGCAGCTGGACACGCTCCGGCGGCAGACGGTGCCGTTCCACCGCGCCTGGGTGCTCGCCTTCGGGAGCCCGAACGAGGCGGCGCTCCGCCGGATCGTCGGCAGCTACAACGACTCCCGCATCAGCTTCGTCTCCTCCGGCCACGACTTCAAGTACTACGGCCGCTTCCAGATGGCGCTGCAGTCGGAGTCCGACTTCGTCTACGTCCTCGACGACGACATGATCCCGGGCGCCCGCATGCTCGAGATCCTCACCCATGTCGCCGGCACCGACAAGTACCGCAACGCCGTGCTCGGCAGCATCGGCCGCATCCTCCCCTTCCGCCAGAAGGACTTCACCTTCCCGAGCTACCGCAAGTTCCGCTCCAAGGAGGCCGGCCTCTACCTCCCCGACCCGGCGTACGACATCGCCGTCGACCGCATCGTGCAGGTGGACTTCCTCTCGAGCTCGTGGTTCCTCGCCGCCGACCTCGTCAAGGCGCTCTTCATCGAGGTCCCCTTCACCTTCATGACCGGCGAGGATCTCCACCTGAGCTACCAGCTGCAGAAGTACATGGGCGCCGGGTCGTTCGTGCTCCCCGTCGACGCCGGCGACAAGGAGACGTGGGGGGACAGCGAGCACCGCCTCGCGTACGTGGCGGAGACGACGGTGATCTTCAAGGACATCGTGCAGGTGCGGGACGAGCAGTGGTGGCGCGCGCTCACCTCCGGCTACGTCACGCAGTGGGCGGCGATGCACCCACAGAAGGTGGACGCGCTCTTCTACGCGCACTCGCTCGGCGAGGTCCGCGCGCTGGCGCCGCTGCTGGAGCGGTTCCGCACCACCGCCGGGAGGAAGGCCTACCTCGTCGTCTCCGGCGGCGGCCACTGCCCCTGCGAGGAGGCGGCGGCGGTGCTCAAGTGGCCCAAGGTTGTGTGCAAGGAGAGGCGCTTCAAGATCTTCGACCTCGCCGTCGGCGCGCTCTCCGGCCCCTCCCACTCCGACGTGCCCGTCCTCCACGCCGTCTACTCCAGCATGCGCGGCATCGTCCGCATGCACAACCCGAGCGTCATCGTCGCCGTCGCCGACGTCGACTCCAAGATCAAGGACGCCCTCCGCATGGCCGCCGACGCCGCCGTCAACCGCACCGCCCTCGTCCTCCTCCCCCGCAACTCCATCTCCAAGGTTCTCTGGATGGCCAACCTCCGCCCCACCTCACTGCCCAGTAAGCTTCTTCTACCTCAAAGCTCTAATCCGCCATTGTTGCATTACATCAAAGCTCTAACCATTCGGGAAAGTGAATTCATACCTCGAGGGGATATCCCCTGGTTTCGTGAATACACCTAAATAGTCATCAAAAAATATATAAAAAAAATTAGCAACATAAATTAATATGAAATATATCACTCCATAAACACATAAGTTTAAATTCAACTTCTATAAGTTATAACAAAAATAATAGATATAGTTGCGAATGTGCGATAACTATTTTCAGTTTAATTTGTTATCTTTGTTGCAATTTATAGAAGTTAAATTTGGTCTTGCATGTTTGTGGAATGATATATTTAATATTAATCTATGTTATCAATTTTTTTTATTTTTTTTATAACAATCTAGATGACATGCAAACCACGAGTGTATCGAGGGATGAAAATCCAGATCCTAACCAATCCATGGATTTCACGCAGACTGGAACAGGATGCGGATCTCGGTGAACATCATCACGCAGAACCGGGCCAAGTCGCTGCGGCGGCTGCTGGCGTCGCTGCGGGACGCCTACTACGTCGGCGACGAGGTGCCGATCAGCTTCAACATGGACAGCCGCGTGGACGCGGCGACGCTGAACGTCGTCAACGCCTTCGACTGGCCGCACGGCGGCAAGACGCTGCGGCGGAGGATCATCCAGGGCGGGCTGATCCGCGCCGTGAGCGAGAGCTGGTACCCGGCGACCGACGACGACTACGGCCTCCTCCTCGAGGACGACATCGAGGTCTCCCCCTACTACTACCTCTGGATCAAGTACGCCCTCCTCGCCTACCGCTACGACCCCCAGGTCTCTCTCCCTGAGCTCTCCTCCATCTCCCTCTACACGCCGCGCCTCGTCGAGGTCGTCAAGGAGCGGCCGCGCTGGAACGCCACCGCGTTCTTCGGCCGCAGCAAGAACCACCACCCCAACACCCCCTATCTTCACCAGCTTCCCTGCAGCTGGGGCGCCGTCTTCTTCCCCAAGCACTGGCGCGAGTTCTACGCGTACATGGCGGCGAGGTTCACCGAGGATGCCAAGCAGAATCCAGTTCAGATACCTCGGTCCCGCACCAATGGCTGGCAGGCGTCTTGGAAGAAGTTCCTCATCGACATGATGTACCTGCGTGGCTACGTCGCGCTCTACCCGAACTTCCCCGACCAGAGCAGCTTCTCCACCAACCACATGGAGCCCGGCGCGCACATCAGCGCCAAGGGCAACGTCGTCAAGCACGACAAGAGGGACTTCGAGGTGCCGCTCGTCGCCGACGACTTCTCGCCGCTGCTCCCCGCCGGGAGGATGCCGCCGGCGTCCAAGCTCCCCGTGCTCAACCTCTTCAACCAGCCGGTCTCCTTCAAGGCGCTCAAGGCCGCCGGCGCCAAGCTCCGCCAGGACGTCATCGGCTGCGCCGCCACGCAGCTCGTCGCCGTCGACCACGTCACCGGCCTCCCAAAGAACTGCACCGCCTTCTGATCCCAAGAAATTGAAATTGCATATATATATTTTGCATTGAATTTCTTCGATGCATGAACACGTTATAAACGATCTGATGACCCATACGTTGTTTTACCATTCGTGATTTTTATTCTTTTGCTCACGATCTCTACACTGTATTTAGCTGTGGTTTACATGTCTCGTTTATTTCGGTTTTCTTTGTATCATTTAGCAGTGAAACTGAAGGGAGTTGCAGAGCATTTTCGCGCTCTGTACGATGGTCTGTAAAGGGCTAAAGATGTAGCCAAAAGTGGCTTCTCTTTGTTATTGTTCTTGATTTTCACCATAGATTCATCATTCATGGAAAGTACGCTGCTACCTCAATAAGAACTGTTCTAGTTGTATAGTCTTCAATTCCTCTGTTTGTGTACAATGATCTTCAATTCACAACAGGTTCATGCAGAGTACATTGATTTCAGAGAGAGAGAGAAGCAATCTTGAGATGGTTCTAGGACAGTAAATTTGTGAAGGAACGACAGCAATTTCCCACCATTTTGGGCCTAGCAATTCTGCTATGCTTGATGTTTCATACTACTACTTGCTTAGACAGGAGCTCCAGTATCCAAATAGCAGCTGATCCACTCTCTGCTTTTAATTGTAAATTTTACTGAATGTCATAAATCTTCGGGTGAACAAAGTACAGAAACAGTAGGAGTATGACTCTGCTCATCGAATAATCGCTACTAGCAATCCATCTTGAGATTTCAACCGTGGAGAAGAAATGGTGAGAGGAATTAAAGATGGAAAAGAGAAACAGAGCGCCTCAGTTTTAGCCTTCAGGAGAGTAATGCCGACTTGCAGAGAGCTGCATATGATTTAGTCGCTGCTCCCCTCTCCTGCCCGGTCGCCCACGTGGACGCCATCGGCCATTTAGGCATTTACCAATCTGGTGATCTGCCGGACCTCATCGCCGGTCCGCCGGCCGCTGGCGTCTTCACTGGTCATCGCCGGCCGCGTCCGGGCCTCACCTAGTCACCTCCCTTCGGCCTTGGACCAACAGCCCAACAGGCAATTCCTTCGAGAAGGCTAATTCGCGACTGGTGGCGTGCGGAGAGGAGGGCGGTGGACGGCGCGGTTTCTTTTTTTTTTTTTCGGTTTACAGTTTCCTTTTTTTTTCTGTTTCATCTTTCCGTATCGCCCTTTGAATCGTAGGAATAAAAAAACGGAGGAATAGGAAAAATATAGGATTCTGACAGGAATGTAAGTGTAAAACAGAGGATTGCAAAACACAGAAAAAACATAGGAATTATCGTTTGATTGGACCATAGTTAAAATACAGGAATCGGATGAGAGAGATAGACTCAAAGGATTTTTACCAAGAGGTTGGACCTCTTGCTAAGTTTCCTCTAAAACCAATATGCAACAAGCCATTCCATAGGAATTTTGTAGGATTTGGAAAACTTCAACCTTTGAATCAAAGGGCTACATGGGAAAATTTCCTGTAAGATTTCAATCCTATGAAATTCCTTCATAATTCCTTTGATTCAAAGGGGCCATAGTATTTTCGCCTTTTTTAATACGTATTTATAGAACTTTGTATACATACACATACAAACTTTATATACGCGTATACAAACTTTATATACACGTATATAAACTTTGTATATACGTATACAAAGTTTGTATATGTGTATATTTTGGGTTTTTATCCGTACGCACTCAAACTTAGTATATGCATATACAAAGTTTATATACACGTATACAAAGTTTGTATAAGTGTGTTTTTTAGACTTTTTTATACATACGAACACAAACTTTGTATACATATGTATATTTTTATACATTAAAGTGTGTATGTATATACAATATACATACATATAAATTTTGTATTTACGTATACAAAATTTATATGTATGTATATAGTATATGCATACGTATATACACTAGTACTTCCTCCGTTTCACAATGTAAGTCATTCTAGCATTTGCCATATTCATATTGATGTTAATGAATCTAGATAGGGGAGTGGATTCTAATCCCTCGAGGGGATATCCCCTCGTATACCTTTTTCTTTCAAATTCGATGTAAATAGTTATGAAAAAATCTGAAAAAAATTGACAATGTAGAGTATAATGATACCTACTAGTGCACCAAAATTCAAGTTCAAATTTGAACTACACATCGAGAAACAAAAAAGACAAATTTAGATATAAACAGTACGCTACTATTCATATGCTGAATTTGTCTTTTTTATATCTCGACGTGTGAGTTGAGTTTGGACTTAAGATTTTGTGGAGTTGTATATATATGTTGTATGAATGTTGTCAAATTTTTCCAGAATTTTTCATAACCGTTTAAATGGTTTTTAAGCAAACGAGGAAACATCGCTTCGAGGGATTAGAATAGTTTCCCATCTAGATAGATATATATGTCTAGATTCATTACCATCAATATGAATGTGGCAAATACTAGAATGACTTACATTGTGAAACAGAGGGAGTATATAGGAGAAGAGAGACTAGAGGGGGCCAGCTGATCGCGCACGTGCGCGGCCGCGCGACTAGCCGCGGATCAGCAGCCCCCTAATGCAGAAGCGGATTCAACGTGGGTGCCTGCAGGGGGACTTGAGTCTCACTACACCCACAAGACCTATGGATACCCCCTCAGCACCCTTTTCGATTTTTTCACCATGGATGATAAACCAAAGGTCTCTAGATGGCTAGAGGTTGAAAAAACTGCGTAATTGAGCCCCCCCAATTTTTTTCCCGGATCCGCCCATGCCCCAATGCCTTGGCCTCCTCTCACTTCTCCTCTTTTTTTCTAATTCTTGATTTGATTTGATTTGATTTAGTGTAAGAACTCCAATATTTCTATTAAAAGTTTTGAATCACTGTATAACTAGCATGTAACATGTTAGGCCACGTAGATTACATGGCTAGAATTATTATATTTTTCTCACATAATAGCATATATATTTTCACATTTTATTAATAAAATATATTAAATGGTAACATAATTTTAAGTTCTGTACTAACTTGATCAGATTAACAAATGTGTAATAACTTAATTATATTTCTATATAGACTCTAGATTCCTCTTCCAATATTCCTTCTTTTTTAATTTGAAGTTTCGTTATTTATAAATTTTATTCCTATATGTACTCTAAACCCTTATTTCAATATTTATTATTTTTAAATTCCGAATTTCAGTTATTTATAAATTTTATTTCTATATGGACTCTAGATTCATATTCCTTATTTTTTTTAATTCCGAACTTTTGTTATTTATAAATTATACTTCTATATGGATTCTAAACTCTTTTTTTCAATATTCCTTATTTTTAATTCTTAATTTTAGTTATTTCTAAATTGTATTCATATATGGTCTCTAGACTCCTTTTCCAATATTCCTTATTTTAATATTCCTCAACCACTCGCAGAGAACTCCGGTGGGATCGCTACCACGCCGGTAATTGGACCAGGTGTGTAGTTGTACCTTGACCACTCGTAAAGAACTCGTAGAGGTGGTGGGATCGCTACCACGCAGGTACTCGGACCAGGTCTCTAGTCATACCTTGATCACTCGTAGAGAACTTTTAGAGGTGGTGGGATCGCTACCACGCTGGTACTCGGACCAAGTGTGTAGTCGTACCTCAACTACTCGTGGAGAACTCTTAGAGGTGGTGGGATCGCTACCATGTGGCTACTCAGACCAGGTGTGTAGTCATAGCTCAACTACTCATGGAGAACTCGTAGAGGTGTTGGGATCGCTTTTTAAACCACGCCTGTACTCGGACCAGGTGTATAGTCATACATCAACCATTCGCAGGAGCGCTTGAGTTGATTATTACATGTGCTTTTCATGTGGCCAACATGACATCACATACCTAACTTATAAGCATGTCAGATGTCCATTCGCAATCATGCCGGGTGATCAAGCTGACAATGCTCGCGAGGAGATTGTATGTAGCAACCTTTTCACAAATAAACTGGGTCGTGACCGGCACTAAATGTGAGATAGGCCGCCGGTATTTGTTGGTAGGTTTGGTCCGACAAGTCCACGTTTGTTCGAGAACGTTCTCGACAACGGGGTGTAATCGACCTCTGGCTATTAGAGTGCTCGATCATTCCTAAAAAATATTTTCTATAAGACAAAATATATAGCATAGAAAGCTGAGTACATACTCAGAAAATTGTATAAATCTTCTAGTATTGCAACATATATAACATAGAAAGCCGAGTACATACTCAGAAAATTGTATAAATCTTCTAGTATTGTCAGGATGTAATGAGCATATTTGGATTAAGAATCGGGTATTATGTATACCGTAAACAAGCGTCATATATACAAAAAGAATAGAGTAAGCCCTCAGTATTAAATGGTAATCGGCCTAATATAGGGAGCATTTGCACAATAGATATTGTATAAAAATATGTTATATGTAAACATAATAAATTATTGATATGAAAATAGGTATGGTAAATTGTATATATAAAATATTATGTATCTTTGTAGATATATGCCGAATATATATTTGAAATTTTTAGATTAATTGAAATCAATTAGTCTACTAATTACCTTTTTGGACACATACTACAGTCTACAGGTAATATGCGTGTCTGTCTCCTGGATGTCCATGTGCACGTTTCTGGTAAGTGACCACCAAACAAGCACGTTGGTTTTGTCCTTTACCGAATAGGTGCATGGATCGGGTCATACGGTGTATTCGCAGTTACAGTAGTAGACTCGTAGGTATGTGTCGACAGAGTAGATTGTGATTACGGTATTTGCATGATATGAGTATCGTTCGTGCTAACGTAGAAGCGAAATTGAGATAAAAGAGATATAGACAAGTATTTTTATATAGGTTTGGGCTCCTTGATTGTCAGGTAATAGCTCTACTCCTGTCGATCGAAGCCGGTGTTGCTCTTATTCATCAGGATCATATGAGCACAATATTTGGGTCTAACCTACCTAGTCGTCGTCGACGTGGCAGCATGGAACACCACATGTAGTAGACGACAGGGTAGTCTTCTTACTTGAATATTAACTAGACGAGGTTAGAGGATAGCTCTAGATCCCTCATGTCGGCCTCTGTGACTCCAGATTGGGTCTATCTAGGCATGTCCCTCATGTTTGTGTTTGTTGGCATATATTCGTGTGTGTCCCCTCTTCTTCTAGGGGATCTTGTATTTATACCCACGAATATCCCTTTTTTCAAGTAGAACTAGGAAGATACATATGGATATGATCCGAATAATCCTTGTAGTTTCCAACTTGAAGTAGTTTCCTTCCTTATCTAGAACACCTTTCGTATATGAGGTATGATTTGGTATAAGACTAGTTATATGGTGGGCCTCACCGAGACCAATCCAAGATCATTAAGCATGCCTTATCCATAACACACAATATGCATTAGTTGTTGTCGTGTTCGACTTGATGATAGATGGGAGGATGCAAGCGCACGACAAGTTTGCAGGGGAGATCAACATAGTACTCTGTACTCGACTCTGATTGCTCGAGAGTGCCGATGTCCGTCCAATGTGAAGGGCAGTCTTCCCGAGGTTTAGGTTGTTGAGTCTTGGTTTGCGTTGATTTGAAAGTAATCAGCCCGGGTGAACTCTTGTGGTCGACGATATCGAACCGTTGTTAGTCAATCTTGGTAGATGGAAATTGTTGGTGGCGACGTTATCTAGTCGGGTCATATTTCCCAGAGCCCAAGCCGTTGAAGTATCTCTCGTCGAAAAAACCACACTAGCAATGTCTTGACAAAGTTTAAGACAACGAGGATCCCGCTCCATTGAAGAGAACGCGCTCCGATTGGGTCGTATCTCCTAAAGCCGAAGTCATCAGAAAGTTCGCCACTTGAAACCCATCTCGTCAAAAACTTGAAGCACCAAGTCCCCTACCTAGTGCTCCACTATCGAGGGTGGATATCCCGACCACAGTATTTATACAGTATGGATATCCCTACCTGGTGTTAGGTTATACGTGAGATTGAGGTAAAAGAGACGGGAGACAGATATTTTCATACAGGTTTGGGTCCCTTAACTAACCGGTAATAGCCTTACTCATATTGGCCAAAACCAGTGTTGCCTTTATATATAAATATCATACGAGTACACTATTTGGGATGATTTAATCTAGTCTTTGTCGGCTTGGCGGCATGGAGCTCTCACACGTAGGCGACGGCTGGTGTAGTATTCGTTCTCGGATCTCGAATATGAACTCGGCGAGATTGGAGGTAGCGCTAGATCCCTCATGTCGACCTTTGTGGCTCCAAATTGGGTTTGTCTAGGCTTGCCTTCCATTGGTCTAGATTTGTATTGGCTTCTGTTGGCGTGTCCCCCTCCTCCTAGGGGTCTTGTATTTATACTCTCGGATGTCTCCTTGTCCAAGTAAAACTAGGGAGATAAGTATGTATATGATCCTTGTCCAAATAGAACTAGGAAGATAAGTATATATACGATCCGAGTAATCCTTAAGTGCCCGAGTAGAAGTTTGTTTTTTCTTCTTTATCCGGAACACCTTCCGTATATGAAGCATAATTCCGTATAAGATTTAGTATATGGTGGGCCCCGCCAACCCCAACCTAAGATTATTGAGTATGCATTATCTATAACACTCATTCCTAGAGGCTAGATGGAGGAGGCTGCCCCCCAGTACCACGTGGCCCTCCCCGAGGGGAGTCAGGCCCGAGGTGGGGCGGCAGCCACTCCTTCTTAGAGACTAGATGGAGGAGGCTGCCCCCCAATACCACGTGGCCCTCCCCCGAGGGGAGTCAGGTCCGAAGTGGGACGGCGGTCACCCCCTCATGTGACTAGGGGTCGGGCTCCCCCGACCCCCTCAGCAGGTCGCCACGTGCGGTGGGTTAGGTGGCCACCTTCGAGCGCTCACCTACCCACATTAATGGTGACCTGAGCAGACGCGCCACGCCGCATTTAATGTGGCGTGCACCGCGCGCTAATTTGGTCTGTGACTGGTCGAATGACCGACAGGACCCGGGGTGTCAGGCGTACTATTGCATGGGTCAGGGGGCGTGCACCCTGTCTTGTCCCATCAGTCATGATGACGAGAGGTCTTAACCTCTCATCCTGGCCAGAGTTGGTCCGTCCGCCCTGGTCAATTGGGGATTCCGTTTCCCGGCGCAAATAGGGACCCAGAAGTCTCCACCCATTAATAGCAGCTGACATGGGCGCCCCTCGTGTCAGGCAGCAAGATTTGACAGGCCCCATCATCAAGATGACGTGCGCTTGCTTCCCAAGTCAAGAGACAAACAGGCATTTAATGCAAAACACTTCTCCACCGGAGCTAGGTTTTTGGGCCCATGTGGTAACCCCTTGAGATATAAAAGGAGGTCCAGGCCTAGAAAAAGGGAGGAGGGATCGAGGACGATCCATTGGACACTCTAGAGCAGTCTCTAGCCACGGATGATCAACACCACATTTTACTCCAACAAAGAGATCTTATAATCCTTCACTCAAGGAGCATAGCACAGGAGTAGGGTATTACGCTTCTTAGCGGCCCGAACCTATATAAATCCTTTTGGTCTCATCATCTTTGAGGGGCTCGACCCCCTCAACACAAACACTGCTTCGCTCACCGAATCCTCAAATCTCACCCGCTGCCTCCGGCTGAACTTACAAAGGAGGGTCTCATGACCTTCCGCTAGAGAGGATCACTCCTCGACAAAACCAACTAGCAATTTCTCCTCTAGATGGGTTCAATCCAGCACCAGATACACAATGCAACATGAAATCCGAGCCAAGTTGGTTGAAATATAGGGATTGCGAAGAACAAGAAAACAACAGGTCAACTGGTACCTGGGTAGAGGATTATATACGCCGGCGGTAGCTCAGCCACATCGTAGCCGGCCTCCTCCACAACTTGAAGCCACACCAACGAATTGGATTCGCGCAGATCGGCACAGCCGGGCGATCGATCGGCGGACTAGAGGCGATCTATCGTATCGTAGGACGTCCGACGCTATCGATGAGATCAATAGGCCCAATAGGCCCATTGCCGTGAGGCACCCGCACCTCTTTGCTCAGTTTGTGCGAGTTTTCTTTGTTCTGTTTTGGCCATGAACTCTTCAAGTTTGTCTAATTCTGATCCTCTACTTCTAAACCGTTTAATGATGAGCAATGAACGATGGGAGAAAGAAACAGAGCGACTCTGTTTCTAGTCTTCAGGTCAGAAGGAGAGTAAGGCAGATTTGCAGAGAGTTGAACATGATATTGCGAATTGTGACGGGCTGATGATGTACTTAGTACATTTTCATGGACATGGCAGGCCCAAGTTTTATTACCACTAGCAGCCGAACAATATCTAAAGAGGATTTGATTCGTTATTGTATTCATGACTCCTCTTAAATCTACTGTAGTTTCTTCTCAAGCAGTTGAGCCCCGTGAAAAATCACTCATACTAAGGTGGAGTACTAGAACACAAGATGAAGATTTGAATGTTCATCATCCGCACACGGTACATCTATGGTGTGGCTGTGGGTAGTAAGACGATAAATAATCTCCATTCTGAACCCTCGTTTGTCAGAATTAGTTTGCATTATGTTCTTTCTTTTGTCTTTATATTATTGTACTGATCCGGCACAACAGTAGATTTCCCATTCATAATCTGCACGACAGTACAGCAATGTTCAAGTGCCCACTGGTCCAGCACATTATTAGGTGCCCAACTGCCCAGCAGAAGCCGCAAATTGAGTTGTCAGTAATCAGCAGTAGCGCATAGTTATACCAGAGGTAGCCAGATCACAAGAAGAAAGAAAAAGTTCAGAGCATAAAGGAATATATCTCCTCAAATTGGATGATCACAACTTGTACAGAGGGAGGCACCACCAACCAACAAGGCAGGAGAAACAGAAAAAAGGCATATAGAGATATATAATTAATTGCTACAAAGTAATTGCTAGTATAGAAACCAAATAACACTTATCAATCCCTAGACATAGATGAACTGCAAAAAGAATTTTTCGGAGTTCAGTACATCAAGCTCCAATATAAACTATGATGGATGTCCCCCCTGAGTAGCTACTAGCAAGAAGAAACTTCTAATTAGCAAACCAACAAACTCCACTTCCTCATCACCCCCCTTAAAAAAAACACATCTCATTTTCCTCCTCCTAATTGACTGACTGACTAGCTGCAAAGTTTTCCTCTCTAAATCTGTCTCCCTCTGCTGCTGGTTTAGCTCTCCTTCTCACCTACCTAATTTTGCAAGCAACTGCAAATCTGCAATGCAACAACCACTGTGATTCATCTATTTCTCCTGCCCTCCTCCTCTCTCTCTCTCTCACCCACCTCTATACAAAACAAAAAATCATCTTTTTAAGGGGAACCAATTAATCAATAGACAAAAAGGAAAAAAATAAAACCCCAAGAAAAGCCCTAGTGAACTAACGCCAGTATGACCCCGGCGATCGATCCATGGATTGATGATGATGCTGATGCTGATGCTGATGGAAACCAATGCAGAGCGGGTGGTGATCGATGATGGATGATGGCTTCAGGAGGGCAATGCTGCTGATGATCACACTGCTGTCCATGTCCATGTCCATGGTGATGGTGATGACGAGGAAGACGACGCACTGACGACTGAAGCAAGCATGCATGCATACATACTAACATGTATACATATATAGCTAAGGGGGACTGAGACCGACGACCAACCGTCCTCCGACGACGCCGCCGCCGCCGCCGGGAGATTAATCCCGGCGGCGGATGTACTGCAGGAGGTCGCAGGACGGGTCGGCGGTCCGGGTTGCCTTCTGGCGCATCTCCACCACCTTCTTGTGGGAGTTGGAATGGATGGACGGCATGAAGGTGGGGCTCGCCGCCGGGCGGTACTCCGGGAAGAGGCGGCCGGACTTGTAGCGGACGCCGCACGCGTTGCAGAGCGTCTTGGGGCCGAGCGGGCCCGCGCGCCACTGCGGCGTCTTCTCGATCTGGCAATGCGTGCACCGCCGCACGGTGCCCGGCGGGAGCGCGAGCGCGCCGCCTTCCTCGTAGTCGGCGTCCGCCGCGTCGGCGTCGGCCTCGGCGTCAGAGGCGGCGGCCGGAGCGGCCGGCTTCTTGGCCTTCTTCTTCTTCTTCATCGGCGGCGGGTGCGGGTTGGACTCGGCAATGCTCTCGGGATCCGAGTGCGACGAGGTGGACGAGTACATTGGCGTCGGCACCAGGATGGTGGTCTCCGTCGCCGCCGGCGCGCCGCGGACAGCCGGGAACGCGGACGGCCTAGACCGTTTGCTGCGCGCGCGCGCCGGGATGACGAGCACGGGCGGCTCCGGGCGCGGCGACACGGGCGCGGACCACGCGCGGCCGCTGCCGGAGAACGACTCCGACGAGGAGGACGCCGACGAGGAGGACGACGAGGAGGAGCCCCCATTGGTTGCCACGTTGAAGCCGCTGTGCTCCAGCACGGAGATGGGGCTGGAGCTGCGGAACAGCGCCTCCTCCGCCTTGTCCGGCAGCACGACGCCGGCGTTCGCCGTCAGCGCCGACGCCTTGATCGGCGCCGCGCAGTTGACGCCCGGAAAACTCGGCTCGTGCGGGATGGTTCCATCGTCGAACAGCCCCGACAGCCACTCCAGCTGCGCCATGTCCATGTCCAGCTCATCACACTGCAAACGACAACCATTGCCACGTCAGATCAGTCACATTTCCTCTACAGCTGCATTGCAGCAGCCTGCTAATTTTGTCGTTACTAGCTGTTCATGTTCATGGTCAGTAGTACTACTGCTAGTACCACCATGACATCATAATTTCTTCCATCCACTACTACTGTGTAAATCTACTGTAAATCAATCATCATTAGCGGTTGGAGGAAGGGGCCCAGGTTTAATTTCGGTTGCTTAAAGCGGAGAAAAGGGTTACTGCTATGCTAGGACTGTTTGTACCACGTTGGGTTTAGTACTAGCATAGTATAGTTGTTGGGCAGGCTAACTACCCAAAGTAAATGGGCCCCAAAAAGGCCGAAACCGCCGTAAAAATCCAACCAAACGGAAGCAAAAAACTCCCATCACGATGGCACGCCGACGCCCGTCCACCGACACGGCCATCGCCTGACCCAACTACCCCATTCACACACGACGCGCGCGCCGCGTGGCGTGGAGCGGGCGCCAACGCCTAATTGGCGCCCAGCTGTTTTGAACTTGAACCGCTCGACCGACGCCGACGCCGACGCCGACGCCGGCAGCGGCAATATCGTCCGAATTCCTCTAAATCGGCCGTACGCTCAACCACGGGGAGGTGGTGGGGGAGGGGGAACTTACCGGGCCAATGTGGGCGTCCTTGCGGTCGAACACCTCGGCGCCGAGCGCGCCGGCCGCGTCGAACAGCGCCGACGCGTCGTCCTTCGCGGGGGCCGGCGGCGGGGGGAGCGCCATCATCTGCGGCGGCGGTGGCGGCGCCGCCGCCATGGTGGCGTGGCCGCCGATGATGCGCGAGGACAGCGGGCTCCCTGGCGCCGGCGCGTCGAGCAGGAGCACGTCGGCGGCCGACTCCTCCTTGGGGAAGTCGAGCAGGTCGTCGATGTGGTCGAAGAGGTCGCCGCAGGTCGCCTCCAGGAGGCTCTGCTCCCGCAGCATGTCCTCCACGAATCCAACGCCCGCCATTGCTGCTGCTACCAAATCACAATCTGTTCACCGTATAAATACAGAGGGGAGAGAATGAAGAAACGCGTGTCAATAATGCCTCATCTCGAGATCAATGTTTGGATATGCATGCATTAAACAAGGCAGTATCCACAATAATAAGAAAGCAAATTAAAGCAACACGGATTTATTCACCTATGATAAAATTAATCAATTCCAAGGATATGATCCACCTATATCAATAATAAGATAAAATTCGTATAAATGGTTACACAACACACCACTGCCAGAAATGGATAGATGACGAGGCGTTACTAATCTATCCCTACTACTACCAGAAGAAGTGCAAATCTATCTCTCTGAGCTGTAAATCAAAAGCTGCAGGAGGGAGATTTTTTTTTCTTCTCTTTCAAAGTGACGGCAGGAGCGGGCTCCATATGTATGCGGTGCATGATGACGCGCTTCCGTGGGTGGGCCCCACCCACCCCCAGCCATGTGACCCCGCATGTGACGGGTGAATTTTCTTTTCTTTATTCTGAAGCAAGGCTATACAATACAGATGGCGTACTACTCTACCCAGGGAAGAAAATTAATATACACTCACTCCGTATATAAAATAAAAATAATAAAAAAATAATAAAAGTAAAAAAGAAAGAAAAAATCTGGGCGTTTGTTTGATTGATTCACCACCAAGGACTCCATCCCTATGCGTACGAGTAGTAAAAGTCAAAGCTTGCCAGCACAAGGAATTTGTCAAAAGGGCGGGGGGATTAGCTGACGTGGAGGCGCCCTATTGGTCCGGACGCGTCACTGGCGTGCCACTGGACAAAGCAGCCGCCTCCCTCGGTAAAAGCAGCTAATTATTGCCGAGTCCTCGGGTGAAAACACCGAGGAATTCATCAAATTTTTTTCTCGCATCAATCGCGGCCATTCCCACAGGAGGAGGGAGCAGTACGGATCATGCAAAGGCGAATCTTGCCATGGCGGCAATGGAAGGAATCTTTTTGGTTTTTTTTTTCCCTTTTTGTTGTTGTTTTTACTGCTTGCTTGCCGGCGTATTGCCTCTCAGAATTTGCACATTTTTTCTCACTGTCCCCAAATGTTTCCAGATAATCCAGACTGTAAAAAAAAGTACTACAAAATCAGGGGGACGCGGTTGAAAAAGCTTGGAATAATAGCAGTAGTACCGACGTGTGAACCCTGATAATCCCATCCAATTTTTCCATGACTTTCTATCCATCTAGTAGCCGGAAGCTTCCCTTTAGTAATTTTACTCTCGATTTTTTTGAATTGATTTGAAAATTTTGAAATCTTCAAATTGAGAAAGAGTCCAAATCGGAGGCTTCCGAGTTTCGTCATCCTCCTATATTCCTCCCCTTTCGTCTTCCTTCCGGGGAAGATGAATGAAGCAATGAACGTGCAAAAAAACACGCATGGCAATGAATTAAGCTGGCGACGCGGCGAAATACGGCCGCGCGCCACCGGGAAGCCAACTTAAAATGCAAAGCCCCTTTGAATTCCCGATCATTTCTTGCCATTTTTTTGAATTTGAAGAAAGCGGCGGCGGCTGATTTTGCGGGGGGGGGGGGGGGGGGGGGAGAGAGAAATGGGAAAGAACACATCACATGCAGCAGGAGCAGCTAGGCTTTCAGCTCACCTGTGTGGGAAAATTGTCTCTGTTTCCTCGCACCGATCGATCAACACCTGCTCGATCGCTCTCCTCGATCAGCTTTTGCTTGCCTTGCCAAAAAAAATTGTCTCTGCTACCTCTTGTTGCACTCTAACTAGCTGCTGTTGCCGATCAAGAAGCTGGCTATCTGAATGCGTTTGTTTATGTAAGTAGGGAGCAGCTGCGAACTAACTCTATATATCTAGTACACCTTCTGCATGGACATGGTTGCTCCAGAGGAGGAAAAGGATGAGCAGATTATGATAGGAGGAAGAAGAAGAAAGTTGCTGCCTGCCTTGCACCACTGCAATTATATGGAGAGCACTTCACTGTACTCCTAAGGCAGAGAGATGGCGCAATTCCGGAGTGCTATATAGGTGGAGGTAAATGGAAGAACGGAAGGAGGGGGATGGAGAAAAAAGGATGCGTGCGTGGGTCGGTGGAATTCAATTCTAGAGCTATAAGAGGAGGTGTATGTAGTACTACTAGTATATGTATATACTGGGGGAGGAGTTAAGCTGCAGGCAGAGCTCAAAAAAAATTTCAAAAATAATAAAAATGGAGGATTAAATATGGGTGTGAGAACGTGAGGGAAGGTAAGAAACCAGCACAGCTTTCAGGCTTTCAGCTGGGACTTGAGAGGAGACGAAACCAAAAAAAAAAAAAAAAAGTGGTATCTGCTTGCTGGGCTATGGCTCCTGGGTTTTGAACGTTGGAGGCTAGCTAAGCTATGGCGGAGTGGAGATCCACTCCCACTCCTCGTTCCCTTTTACACTGGTGCTCGCACACGACCTGCACGGCACACGCGGATGGGAGGAAGAAAAAAGGAGACGATGCGTCGAGCTGGAACGGCACGAAAGAGACGACCAGAGAGAGGCGCCCTTCTACAGCTAAGCTTCCGTCCGTCAGTCACTCACTGCCTCGTGAGGACCCAGCAACAACTAGTACTACTACTGCTGCTACTATGCATGCCATTTACTGGGTCTGGGACGACTACTTCTCCCACGATTATTACGATTACGGTCACGATTAGCAGTGTGGTAAATGGGTTGTTTAACCATCCATGACGTAAAAAAAATCAAAATCAAATCAGCGTGGTAATTAGGATCGTTGAGCAACCACAATTGCTTGCTGGTAGTAAGTGCTACAGTACAGGGAGATGGGGACGGTAGGTGAGCCTTCCTCCCTCACTGCTAGCTGTCCTCGCCCCTGTCGTGACGTTGAAGTTTCCTCCCTCTTTCTCTCTCCTCACATCCCTCTTTTTTTCCCCTCTCCCAGTTAACCAAAAAAACCCAGAAAATACAAAATGCTAAAATCACCAGCTCAGATTTTTTTTCTCTCCCTCCTGTATGTACACATGGCGCTGGGTTATCACACATGGATGGGCATGAGATGCCAGCTGCTGTCACGACGGTCACGACTTTCCTCCCCCTTGCCTCCGCCGCTCGCTCCTTCACACTGTTTAACCGACAGCCACCGCTCCCGGGCATCGGTCGTCGGATCCTCTGCGGCCACTGGTAAAATCCTCGCACGCCAGACCGGTCGTCTCGTCGCAGCTACTAGCGTCCAGCCGTGTCGCGGTTAGCGCGCGCCTCCACGGAAGCATCCCGCGGTCGCCGCCGCACCGCGGCCGCGCATTGACCGCGCGGAGGCCGCGTCGTCTTGCTTCGCTTGCAGCTGGGTGAGAACGGTCAGAAACAATTGGAATCGGTAGCATCTCTTATAAAACAATATTAGATTAATCGGTAATTAATTATATTTATTATTTAAATTACTCAGTGTCAATAGATACAGCAAAAAAATTAGAAAAAAAAATTTAAAAATAGCCAAAACGATACCATTTTGGAAACGGCGCTCCGTCCATCAGTTGATCGGCAGCCGTATGGACGCGGACTCGCGAGCCGCGCGGCGCAGGGTGCGTAGCCGCATGCGACTTGGAGACCGCGACGGCGATGTGGGGGGGCAAGTTGGGCAACGAGACAGACGCTGCGGAATTGCCTCTTGATTGAGAAGGACGCGAACCCGATTCAAAAATTTTCTTTCTCGGTCCAAAGGACTCGTGGGGTTGTAAATTCAAAACTTATCTAACTCGATCGTCGATTGCATATCCGTTCGGTTTTGTTTTTTTTCTATGTGCCTACTTGTTGGCGTTCTAGGGTCAGCGTACGTATGCTCTCTCGCCTAACACTTTTTTGAGTGTTCTGGTATATTGCCCAACCCATGGAGGATATGTGCGCACGAACGACAGTGCAGTTAATCCACTGTCTCTGTCAAATTAATCCCTTCGGTCGATAGATATTTACCGAACTTAATTACTGCCGTGCCCATGTTACGACTTACTAGGATATATACATGACGTATACGCACATATATAGGACGTAATAGTAGTAGTAGTTGATCCTTTGATCCCTGATGCATTACTACTAGATTAATCTTATCCTGCCAATCGATCGATCTGCATGCATGCATGCAGCTGGTGTTGGTGGTAGCAAAGCACACCTGCACATGAACGATCGCATCTGGATCGAGCAGCAGTAGTGGCCAGGTCGGGTCACTCACTCACTCACTCGACCTACCTACTTCTCTCTACTACTACCTCCTGCGTGTGTGCACACACACAGCCACGAATACAAACGAACGAACTTGGTTTCGTTCGTGCATGCAGGTGGATGGGATGCCATCGGGGACTACTACTACACCCGTCTAAAATTAGGATATCTTTTTGAGTTTTTACTTATAACATTTGACTATTCTTCTTATTTAAAATATTAGTGTAAATTAAAAAATCATATTTAAAGTACTTTTGGTAATAAATTAAGTCGCAAATTTAAAAATAATAATTCTATATATTTTTTAATATGATGAATGGTTGAACGTTAAAAATTTTTTAAAACGATAAGTATATTGAAACAGAGAAGTACTGATCACACAAATCAACAACAAGAGTTGTCCTGCACAGGCAGCACAGCATGCAAGCACAGCTGCGCCACATGTGACTTAACGACCATCGTGGTTGGGGTTGGGAAAAAAATCGCACGGAAAAAATGGCGATTAATTGCTGGAAACGGGAGAACGGAGAAGAGGGGGGTGCGTGGTGATGGAAAAGGGGAGCAACGGAAAGGGAAGGAAGAGTAAAGTGACCGCACAACCGATGGTTGTTCGGGCCTCACTGCCCCCAGCAAATCATATGACGGGTCCCACTCCACTACGCTACTGATCAACCTCTTTTCTTTTCTTTTTTTTCTCATATCATCTTCTTTCTTTGCATAACTAACTTGGGTTGCACTCCTTGCATCCATTCCTTGAGCTTTACTACTCCCCAACTCACTCTCACTCTCTACCCCGATCACACCTAAACCCATTGGCCACGCCAGCACCAAAGCCTGTTCCACGTGTACGACAGTCGGATTCGTAATGCTTGGCTTCATCTTTTTAGTGTAAAACTCGATACGGTATCAGAGTCAATTTGACGAAAACGTAAACCCACTTTCAATCAGGTGAACATAAGTCCATATCGTCAATGAATGTTTAAACTTTTCATATATATATATAGGGATCTGGAGGATGAAGCATGCATCATTTTATTTTATAAAAAAAATATTTAAAGCGTACAACTTGATGGGAAGGAATTGAAAAGGTATTAACCATTTTGCGGTGACATAATTCATATGTGTGTGTTTTTTTCAGTGGTTGTTGCGGTTGCCACTGCCGTTTTCGCGAGGCATAATTCGAGCCTAATGATGCCGACTTTTTCCTCGATCGCGCGCTGCGGACGCAGCAGAAAGAAATTCGTGCGCGGCATGTCTTTGCTTGTTTGCCACCGACGGGGCCGAGCGACCTCTGCCAGACAAATGGGTGGCATATTATACTAGCAAAGGAGGTCGACACTGAAGAGTTGATCGAGTGAGTTAACATCACTCGTCACCAACCCGTATATATACGTTGTCAAATCAATCGGCCGGGCAACTCAAATTTTATGTCAATCTTTGTTAACATATTTTTAAAATTATTAAACGGTGTGTTTGATTAAAAAAATTATATAAAAATTGTTTTAAAATACTAAATAAATTCATCGTTCAAGTTTGCAGTAACTAAAACTTAATTAATCTTAACCGTGCAGTTGTATGGTTTTCGGGTCTGGTTTTTCTTCTAAAGTGGACCGATTCTCTTCTTCTAAATATAAAAGTGGAACAAAGTTCCGCCAGTGGTTTAAAAAAACTTAATTAATCATACGTTAATATATTTTTAATTTTAGGATTGCTAATTTGATCTTTATCTTTATTAGAAAAAGAACACCGTTGAAGAGTGGCATACTAGCAAGGAGAGTTCGAGACTGAACAGTTGAGTGAGTTAACGTCACTCGTCACCAACACCAACCCGTATACGTCGTCAAATCAATTGGCCGAGCTATTCGATCAGTGGCTGTGCTGCTCTCTCAGCTCGATCAGATCAGTTCGCTTGATGGCCGTGGCTAACTAGGTACGGCTTCAATTTGTTGGTGTCGGATCACTCACTCACTTGATATGATCCAACTGCCGCCTCTGATCTCTCTCTTGCATCTCCAGCAAGCAACAATTGCTGTAGCATTTCTGGCCTCATTTTCTTCCTTCCTATTCTTCTGTTGAACATATAATTGCACGATTGTTGTATACTCCCTTCATTTCAAAATATTTCACACCGTTGACTTTTTAGTATGTGTTTGACCATTCGTCTTATTCAACAAATTTAAGTAATTATTTATTCTTTTTATATCATTTGATTCATTGTTAAATATACTTTTATGTACACATATAGTTTTACATATTTCACAAATTTTTTTTTGAATAAGACGAATGGTTAAATATGTGCTAAAAAGTTAACGGTGTCAAATATTTTGAAACGGAGGGAGTACATCGAATGGAAAAAGTAGTATACTGATAATGTTGGATTCAGTACTACACTGTTGGTGGCAGTAGTAGTACCAGTGCCACGACGACTGTACACACATGCATGCTGTCTCAGCTCGGTGGCTTGGCTTAGCTCCAACACCTGCGTTCCGGGCAGACAAGGATTAATTATGGTTTGTTGCAAGGCGAGACAGCCAGCCATCCATCCATCCATCCCTACGGAGAAGAGGACCATCGGATCGAGTACTCATCTTCATCTAGTGCGTGACATATATCACGAGTCGTCGTTTAACCACTCGTTTGGTGGTTAGTTAGCTGTGCGTATTAGCAGCGATCGAACAAACACATGTAGTACTACTGGTTCCAGTACCGTTTACATTGATCGGTCCCAAAATAAGCTTATGTGTGGGTTTCTATGCTTAACGTTTGATCATCTATTTTATTTAAAAATTTATAGAATGTTAAAAAAACAAGTCATGTATAACGAATTATTCATATTTTATCTAATAATAATAAAAATAGTAAATTATATTATTTTTTTTAAAAAATAAGTCTAATGGTTAAACGTTGAACATAAAAATTTACAAATGAACTCGTTTTGGTATGGAGGGTGTACAATTTCTCATGGGCACCTTGTCTTCTTTTGCCATTGAGAACTCACAGAGAATCAGACATGTATTTGTTACTGCTACTAGTAGTTGGCCAGGTAGATTGGCATTAGCAGGAGCAGCAACAACATGATGCTGCTTGTTGCTTGTTGCAAGTAGAGAGTAGAGTACAGTAATAATCAGTGAGAAGAAGCGACAAGAAGCACCCGATCTCTGACAATTATGGGATATTCAAGTCCCCTGCATCGATCCCTAGGGGGAGCGGATTATGATTGCTGCATGCTCAACATGCCCCTTTGTGCTGTCAGACAAATAAAGTTACTCCTA